GAAGAAACGATCAACCAGCGTCGACGAAGGAGCGACACCAAAAACGCTGAGGATTCGCAATTTCGCAAATCCCTTACAGCGGCTCTGGAAACACAGGTGTGAGGTGACTGGCGAAGAAACGAAGGATAAATACGGAAGCGCAGTCGGTTACAGTGCGGTTTATTCTCTGTGTTTGTGTTTTTTCGCGGCCGCCTGTCCGTTTCGCCTGTCCGAAAAACGGCTTGTCGCGAATTCTGGTGTCGACTGGTGACAAAGCCAAACTGGTTGCTCGCCAGACGGGACCCACCAAGTCTTGACTGTTCAGATATACTCGATTGTGACCCTGGCGTTTTACGTACAGGAACGCAACTCCCTTTTCCTTATCGTAGCACTTTGCTACACTCGGAACGTACATCAGCCAGCTAGTGATCCAAATAATATGCCACAATGCGATCCATCCATGCCTCTGGTTTTCAGGGTAAAATGAACTTATGGCCCTTAATTTAAGGCTGGCTACCATCAGCTTCTCTATGGGAGGTCAAGGCGCATGGTGGTAGAGATACTCCACTTAAAGTTGGCACATGTCATGAGGAGGAACATAGCGAGTATATGAAGTCAGAATAATTTCAATCTTTTATTGGAAATACCTCGATAAGGCTCAAATAGAGGATACCCGACCACCCACTATCAACCACTGGAATCGGACAGGAGACATGTTGGAGCCTTTGGCGATTTCCATAGGAATCTGAAGGCGGTTCGTGCGAAGCCTTTCGCCTAGGAACCCTGACCTGGGTAACCTGAGGCCAAGCCTATGCTTCTGGTTATTGACGCACCCAAGCAAACCAGCATACCACACCTGCCCCCAGCCACCACTTTCCGAGCTTGATGGCACCATTACAGAAGAAAACGTGCATTTTTCGGCAAGTGGTATTTCCTCGTCTCCCGTCAGATCTCGTTGACGAATTACGCAACCGAATTCTTTTGCGAAATAATGTTTCAAACACTGCCCGAGTGACGTGAATAGAGGATGTTTTCATGTGGCAGCTTTTCCCGCTCGCCCTGAGAATACACCTGCTTCCCCGAGCCAGCTCCGTGGCGGGGATTTGGCTCGGAACCTCCCTCGATACCATCCTTTGGGCTCCCTTCGTTTGGTTTGGTTTGCCTTCCGCTGCTCCCCACCTTCTACGCGCCATGTGACTTGAAGTCTCAAGGTTGGAGATAAAGCCAAGGTGAAGTTACTAACAAGATAGGATGGGATCTACTCGTTACGACAATGTACTAGGTCGTATCGTATGGCTTCTGTGTGAGTCTCGCATGGCTTTTTTGTTTTCAGGTGCCCTCACTTTGACGGCATGTTAGGAACCAAATGGCGATTTTCGACTGAGTTTAGAATTTGTTTGGATATTCATGGCAAGATTGTAGCTCGGCACACGCGTTGCAGCTGGCCTGCTACATGCGTTTTTGGAACTGAGTTAGACGTTTCAGTCAAGTCAGCTTCGCTAGTGGCAGCTGATGACACCTTCGCAGGCTATACCGTTCTTCCCTGTCACTTGCATTTCTGGATATGCGAGCACACCAAGTATCTATTAGTCTCTTCGTTTGCTTAGTAACCTAGGGTTTCATTCACCCCCTACGGGGGCTGACGTCCATTAGTTAAATTCCATCCGCATTTCGAAACTAACGACGATGTCGAAGCGGATGGACCCGCGCAGGCAGAGCGTCGGCAGCGGCACCGATCTCCGCCGTTCCAAATCCATCGGAGTATCCTCCCAATCAATGGACTTCAAAAACTTCAATCCCGCCGCTCCCGCCGCGCGCCAGCAACCCGCGCACCCGAACGGCCGGTTGAACCGGTCCGTCAGTCAGAAAGCTGCCGGCGACGTGACGTTAACGGCGGAAGAGTTGGCAGAGATGGAGCAGGAAATGGTTAAGTCCAAGACAAAGGTCATGGCGTGGTTTACGAAATCGGAGTCGGAAGGTGCGCCGATTAACGTTCCCCCTCCCGCCGCCTCCCCTTTCGAGGAAGTCGGCGGTCTCGAAATTCCTCCTGTGGGGAAGAAAGGGCTTCCGCCGAGGCGGGGGGACGCGCCTCTGCACGGGAAGCCACCCGCGCCGCAGGATTTGAGGAAATGCGCGACGCGGGTGTTTTCGTCGCAGCACGTGCCAGAGTGGGTCGGCAAAGGGGACAGCGCGTTCAAGCGGTCGCAATCGTGCCGCGAAATGGGCCAATCAGGAAGCGTTCTTAGATCGCGTTCGGTAGAGGGCCCTGGAGTGATGTACAGACCGTCAGGGGCAGGCGGAGCAGGAGGAGCAGGAGGAGCAGGAGGGGCATTAGGAACAGGTTCTCCCTACGACGGCGTAGGGAGGAGGCCAGGAATGCCAGGCGGACCTGGTGGGAATAAAGACCTAGCGAAGGTTCTATCGCGGACGGAACAAGCGGCGGAAAAAGTAAAGATGCTGCTTAGCCGGCCGCCGGACCGCCGGTTGACGCGGTCGCTAAGCGCGATGAAAAAGAACGACCGAGTTAATCTAGGCGTGGGGGGGATGGGGCCGGTCGGGGGGATGGGGGTAAACTACAGCCCCGGACAAGCGGGCGCGTATGGGTATGCGGGGGAGGGCAGCAGCGGAGGTGGGGAGGAGGCGGGCGGGGGGGCATGGGCGGAATGGCTGCTGGCCCGCGCGGGGACCTGCACTTGCGCCGGGCGTTTTCGGAAGATAGACGCGCGCTTAACTCCGCGCCTATGCCCGCTAGGGGCAGCTTTGCGCCGCCAGGCGGGGGTGCAGGCGCGCGGAGGGGGGAGGATCCGCGGCAGCGAATCCTTTCCTCCCGCGGATTGGGGCATTCGGGGGACAACAGCCCTAGCCGCTCCGCCGCGCGCCCGCTCGGGGGAGGCGCCACGTCAGCGCCGCGTCAGCATTATAGAGACGAAGACGGGCGGGGGAGTCAGGGGTATGATGACTATAGTAGGAGCCCTTCCCCCGATAGGAGGGGGAGGGGAGGGGGGAGAGGAGGCGGAAGGGCGGGAAGCAGCGGGCTGAGAAGGAATGGGTATGATGAGGTTGAAAGGGGTAGAGGAGGGTGTGATGATGATTCGAGATCAGGGTCTTCGTATGAGGACTATGATGGGGGCAGGAGGAGGAGAGGTGATGAGTATGAGGGGGGTGGGAGGAGGAGGGATGATGGTGATGATGGGGGCAGGAGGGGGAGGGATAATGGTGATGATGGGGGCAGGAGGAGGAGAGATGATGATTATGAGGGGGGTGGAAGGAGGAGAGATGATGAGTATGATGGGGTGGGAGGGGGAGGGATAATGGTGATGATGGCGGGAGGAGGTGGAGAGGTGATGACTATGACGATAGGAGGAGGGATGATGATTATGACGATAGGAGGAGGGATGATGATTATGATGGTAGGAGGAGGAGTGGGGATGATGACGATGGGTATGACCCGAGGGGGACTGGGCGGGATAGGGAGAGAGATGGGGGGAGAGTTGGGGAGAGGGAGAGGGAGAGAGAGAGGGAAGGGGAGAAAGAATGGGACAGGGAGAGGGGCGGATACGAGGAGGCGAATGAAGAGGAGGAACGGAGGTCGCGAGATGATTGGGAGAGAGGGATGGGGAAAGAGGGGATGGAGGCAGGGGAAATGGGGGAAGAGGGGATGGAGGCAGGGGAAATGGGGGAAGAGGGGATGGAGGTAGGGGAAATGGGGGAAGAGGGGTTGTGGGAAGAGAGGATGGGGGAAGAGGGAATGGGGGGAGGGGGTATGGGGGGAGGGGGATTGGGGGGCGGAATGGGGGGGGTTCGGGGTTTGGGGTTAGGTTTCGGGGGAGGGAGTGGAAGGGAGAGGAGGGAGGAGTGGAGGGAGGAAGGCGAGGAGGGGAAAGGGAGGAGGGCAGAGCTGAGGGGAGGGTTGGTGGGTATGGGGAAGAGTATAGCGGTGAGGGGAGAGAGGGAAAGTGAGTATATTGAGGGAAACTATGTGGAGGGTGACTACAACGAGCGGGAAATGGGTCATGATATACACGGTCGTGGGTATGATGATAGGTATGGGGAGGAGGAGCAGGAGGGAGTGAGGGAGATGAGGGGAGGTGGAGAGGAGATGGGGATGGAGATTGTGAGGGAGGAGGAGCAGGAGGAGGAGGGGAGGAGGAGGAAGGGGAGGGGGAGGGACGGTATGATGCTGATTCACAGGAAAGGGGGGATTATGGTTACAGACGTGACGATGGTTCTGGTTACCATGATGACGTCACTGCTGAGCTGGCAGAAGACCCTCATGCGCATCCTGATGACGTGGCAGCAGGCCACCCAGGGGCATTATAACGAAGAGGAGTATGGTGACGGTGGTGCTTATGGTGGTGGTAATTATCCTGGGGAGCATGGGGTTGTTGATGGGGCATATGATGGGGATGTGCATGAAGGCTACGCCGACCGACAGTTGCATGGAAAATTTGAGGATGTTTATGATAAGGATGGGCATGGGCATGCCAATCATGCAGTTCGCAGTAGACAGAGTAACGAGGACGGTTATATAGGTGCTCAGGATGGTTATCACCAAGAAGGTAACCACCGGGACGGTTACCCGCAGGATGGTTACCAAGAAGACGGTTACCAGCAGGACGGTTACCACCGAGATGCTTATCCTGCTGCTGAGGATAATTATGATGATGATGATGGAGGTGGTTACCACCACAGTAACCACAACACCTCATCAAGACACGCTACTGCAAGCCATCCCCCTCAATACTCCTCCTCTCCCCAACAGCGGTCTGCTAGCAACTCCCCTCAACAGCCGCCCACTGGTTATCCCTACCAGAGCTCGCCTGGTGTGTCCTCCCCACAGCAATCGTCTCACCTCTCCTTCCACCAGTCACAGTCAACACCGTCGCCCTCCCAACAGGGGCAGCAGCAGCTGGGGATGGCGCGGTCACCTTCGAATGGGATGGCTCGGTCACCTTCCAATCAAGGCCAGAATCTGAGATCCCCCTCGCAGCACCCGCAGCGTGTGTCCTCCTCCCCCAAACATCCCTCCCAGCTCTCTCCATCAAGCAACTACCATCAGCAGCAGCAGCAGCAGCAGGAGCACCACCAACAGCAACAGGGCAAAATCCACTCCCCACACTTGCTCCACCATAAGCCTGTTTTTGAGTCGACTCAAAAACAGGAGCACCACCAGCACCAACAGCAACAGGGCAAAATCCACTCCCCACACTTGCGCCACCATGACCAGCACCACAATCAGCACCATCAGCAGCAGCAGCAGCAGCAGCAGCACCATCAGCAGCAGCAGCAGCACCATCAGCAGCAGCAGCAGCAGCAGCAGCAGGCAGCACCCCCATCCCTCTGCCCCGGGCCACACAAGAACCGCCTCCTACAGCAGTGGGAGTCCGGCTGCGGCTGGTTCTCCTGGGTTAGGAGGTGTTGTGAGCGGTGCTGGTGGTAATTCTGCTGCTGGGGAAGGGGCTATGCCTGGCCGATCCTCTTCTTCTGCCACAGGTCGCTCTCCAATTGGTCATACCCGGTCTAACTCCCAGAGCCTACCAATGGCGGTGACGCCACCGCCGCCCGGCGCGTCGCCAGCTGGGCGGTCCAGGTGGCGCAATATCATTGGTCGGCCGCTGGAGAGCTTTGCCGCCCGGTTTGAGCTCACAGGGGAGGTGCTGGGAAAGGGGTATTTCGGAGATGTGGTGGTGTGCGTGGAAAGGGACAGCGGGGAGCATTTCGCGTGTAAAGTGATCAACAAGGCGAATGTGAAGGTATGTAGAGGACGGTGGGGTGGGGTGCATTGTGGTCCAGTGCGGTGTTTTGCGTTTGAGCTGACAGGTGGTGCTGGGAAAGGGGTACTTTGGAGATGCGGTGGTGTGTGTGGAAAGGGACAGCGGGGAGCATTTCGCGTGTAAAGTGATCAACAAGGCGAATGTGAAGGTACGTAGGGGAAGGTGGGGTGGGGTGCATTGTGGTGCAGTGCGGTGTTTTGCGTTTGAGCTGACAGGTGGTGCTGGGAAAGGGGTATTTCGGAGATGTGGTGGTGTGTGTGGAAAGGGACAGCGGGGAGCATTTCGCGTGTAAAGTGATCAACAAGGCGAATGTGAAGGTATGTAGGGGAAGGTGGGGTGGGGTGCATTGTGGTGCAGTGCGGTGTTTTGCGTTTGAGCTGACAGGTGGTGCTGGGGAAGGGGTATTTCGGAGATGTGGTGGTGTGTGTGGAAAGGGACAGCGGGGAGCATTTCGCGTGTAAAGTGATCAACAAGGCGAATGTGAAGGTATGTAGGGGAAGGTGGGGTGGGGTGCATTGTGGTGCAGTGCGGTGTTTTGCGTTTGAGCTGACAGGTGGTGCTGGGGAAGGGGTATTTTGGAGATGTGGTGGTGTGCGTGGAAAGGGACAGCGGGGAGCATTTCGCGTGTAAAGTGATCAACAAGGCGAATGTGAAGGTATGTAGAGGACGGTGGGGTGGGGTGCATTGTGGTCCAGTGCGGTGTTTTGCGTTTGAGCTGACAGGTGGTGCTGGGAAAGGGGTACTTTGGAGATGCGGTGGTGTGTGTGGAAAGGGACAGCGGGGAGCATTTCGCGTGTAAAGTGATCAACAAGGCGAATGTGAAGGTACGTAGGGGAAGGTGGGGTGGGGTGCATTGTGGTGCAGTGCGGTGTTTTGCGTTTGAGCTGACAGGTGGTGCTGGGAAAGGGGTATTTCGGAGATGTGGTGGTGTGTGTGGAAAGGGACAGCGGGGAGCATTTCGCGTGTAAAGTGATCAACAAGGCGAATGTGAAGGTATGTAGGGGAAGGTGGGGTGGGGTGCATTGTGGTGCAGTGCGGTGTTTTGCGTTTGAGCTGACAGGTGGTGCTGGGGAAGGGGTATTTCGGAGATGTGGTGGTGTGTGTGGAAAGGGACAGCGGGGAGCATTTCGCGTGTAAAGTGATCAACAAGGCGAATGTGAAGGTATGTAGGGGAAGGTGGGGTGGGGTGCATTGTGGTGCAGTGCGGTGTTTTGCGTTTGAGCTGACAGGTGGTGCTGGGGAAGGGGTATTTTGGAGATGTGGTGGTGTGCGTGGAAAGGGACAGCGGGGAGCATTTCGCGTGTAAAGTGATCAACAAGGCGAATGTGAAGGTATGTAGAGGACGGTGGGGTGCAGTTGGGTGTGGTGCGGTGCTATGGTTTTGGGGGATGATTACTCCGCGTGTGATTACTCGATTGTTGAGGAGCCTAAAAAATCCTCCTGCACCAACGACTTCAAACTTCTGAGGCGTCTAAAAAACCCTCCTGTGCCAACAACTTCGAACTCAGTGCCCCTTGCTGATTGTCGCCCTATCACCCCAACCAGCCACCCGCGGTGTCCCCCATGCCAGAGGATACAGAGAACGTGGCAGCGGCTGCACTGTGTGTGCTGCTGTATAAGAACGCTCTGCTCTGCCCCTTGCTTCCTGGCTTGCTTCCCCCTCAAACCACCACACCACCGAGGATGCAGAGGACGTGCAGAACGAGGTGGCAGCGTTGGAGGCGCTGAGAGGCACTGTCCCTGGCTGGTTTGGTACTGCCCCTGGAGGTGACTGTACGATCATGCACTGCCCCTTACCTGCCTTTCTTCCCCCCCTCAACACACCCACGCCAGACTCCAGAGGATGCAGAGGACGTGCAGAACGAGGTGGCAGCGCTTGAGGCGCTGAGGGGCCACCTACACATCGTGCAGCTGATAGAGACGGTGGAGGAGCCAGAGGTGGGTGGGTGGCTCTGCTTTAAACGAGTATATGAATGTGTGCTGGGGGAGTCTAGGCGCTGGAGGTGCTGAGAGGCCACCGGCACATCGTGCAGCTCATAGAGACGGTGGAGGAGCCAGAGGTAAACGAGACTGCTTATAACGAGTATAACGCTGGGAGGGGTGGGTTCTAGAGAGGTCACTGGCAGATCATGCAGGCGACAGCTGGCAGCTCAACGCCCCTCTCCTCCCTTCACCTCTCTGCTCCTCCTCTACTCCTCTTCCCAGACGGTGTATCTGGTGATGGAGCTCTGTCAAGGAGGCATCCTACAGCAGGCAGTGAGGGAGCAAGGGCACGTGATAAAAGAGATGTTTTGAGACGTCTCAAACATCCTCCCTTCACCTCTCTGCTCCTCCTCTACTCCCCTTCCCAGACGGTGTATCTGGTGATGGAGCTCTGTCAAGGAGGCATCCTACAGCAGGCAGTGAGGGAGCAAGGGCACGTGATAAAAGAGATGTTTTGAGACGTCTCAAAACATCCTCCCTTCACCTCTCTGCTCCTCCTCTACTCCCCTTCCCAGACGGTGTATCTGGTGATGGAGCTCTGTCAAGGAGGCATCCTACAGCAGGCAGTGAGGGAGCAAGGGCACGTGATAAAAGAGATGTTTTGAGACGTCTCAAAACATCCTCCCTTCACCTCTCTGCTCCTCCTCTACTCCTCTTCCCAGACGGTGTATCTGGTGATGGAGCTCTGTCAAGGAGGCATCCTACAGCAGGCAGTGAGGGAGCAAGGGCACGTGATAAAAGAGATGTTTTGAGACGTCTCAAAACATCCTCCCTTCACCTCTCTGCTCCTCCTCTACTCCCCTTCCCAGACGGTGTATCTGGTGATGGAGCTCTGTCAAGGAGGCATCCTACAGCAGGCAGTGAGGGAGCAAGGGCACGTGATAAAAGAGATGTTTTGAGACGTCTCAAAACATCCTCCCTTCACCTCTCTGCTCCTCCTCTACTCCCCTTCCCAGACGGTGTATCTGGTGATGGAGCTCTGTCAAGGAGGCATCCTACAGCAGGCAGTGAGGGAGCAAGGGCACGTGATAAAAGAGATGTTTTGAGACGTCTCAAACATCCTCCCTTCACCTCTCTGCTCCTCCTCTACTCCCCTTCCCAGACGGTGTATCTGGTGATGGAGCTCTGTCAAGGAGGCATCCTACAGCAGGCAGTGAGGGAGCAAGGGCACGTGATAAAAGAGATGTTTTGAGACGTCTCAAAACATCCTCCCTTCACCTCTCTGCTCCTCCTCTACTCCCCTTCCCAGACGGTGTATCTGGTGATGGAGCTCTGTCAAGGAGGCATCCTACAGCAGGCAGTGAGGAAGCAAGGGCACGTGATAAAAGAGATGTTTTGAGACGTCTCAAAACATCCTCCCTTCACCTCTCTGCTCCTCCTCTACTCCCCTTCCCAGACGGTGTATTTGGTCGATTTTTGAGTCGACTCAAAAATCGACCCTCCTCTACTCCCCTTCCCAGACGGTGTATCTGGTGATGGAGCTCTGTCAAGGAGGCCCCGTACAGCAGGCAGTGAGGGAGCAAGGGCCGTTCAACGAGCCGCAGGCAGCAGCGGTGGTGGCGGCAGCGGCGGAGGCGCTGCTGCAGTGCCACTCAAGGCATCACCCTGCTCTCCTCGGGAGGAAAGCGCTGCTGCAGTGCCACTCATCTGCTTCTCCCCCTCTCCCCTCTCCCTCTCCCTCTCCTCTCCCTCTCCCTCTCCCTCTCCCTCTCCCTCTCCCTCTCCCTCTCCCTCTCCCTCTCCCTCTCCCTCTCCTTCTCCCTCTCCCTCTCCCTCTCCCTCTCCTTCTCCCTCTCCCTCTCCCTCTCCCTCTCCCTCTCCCTCTCCTTCTCCCTCTCCCTCTCCCTCTCCCTCTCCCTCTCCTCTCCCTCTCTCCCTCTCCCTCTCCCTCTCCCTCTCCCTCTCCCTCTCCCTCTCCCTCTCCCTCTCCCTCTCCCTCTCCCTCTCCCTCTCCCTCTCCCTCTCCCTCTCCCTCTCCCTCTCCCTCTCCCTCTCCCTCTCCCTCTCCCTGCTCCCCTACTCCCCCTCCTCCAACCCAACCCAGACAGTGTATCTGGTGATGGAGCTGTGTCAGGGTGGAACCCTCCAGCAAGCAGTCAGGGAGCAAGGTCCGTTTACGGAACCCCAAGCGGCAGCGGTGGTGGCGGCAGCAGCGGAGGCGCTGCTGCAGTGCCACTCCAACGGCATCATTCACCGCGACGTGAAGCCCGATAACATCCTGCTCGGGGAGGAGCAAAGTCGCTGTTGCTGTGCCACTCATGCTTCTTCTCCCTCTCCGCCCACTCCTCTCCCATCCTTCTTATCCCCAACCCAGACGGTGTATCTGGTGATGGAGCTGTGCCAAGGGGGCACTCTACAGCAGGCAGTGAGGGAGCAAGGGCCGTTCAACGAGCCGCAGGCAGCAGCGGTGGTGGCGGCAGCAGCAGAGGCGCTGCTGCAGTGCCACTCCAACGGCATCATACATCGCGATGTGAAGCCCGACAATGTCCTCCTCGGGGAGCGTTTGGACGTTTCTGAGGGAGGTATACCTGGGGACGTGAAGATCTGCGACTTTGGCATCTCAACGTTCTTCCAGCCAGGTGCGTTTTGGAAAAGGCATTCGTTCTGGAAAGGAAGGGCTTTCCAGGGGAGGTACACCTGGGGTTAAAATGGGCGTACGTGGGGTGGGTGGGGATGGGAACTTCTGCGAGTTTGGCATCTCAACCTTCTTCCAGCCAGGTGGGTTGGGTTGTTTAGAGCCTACCGTGTTGCCTCCTTCCTCTCCCCCAAAATGCTCGCTCAGACCTACTCCTGCCCCACCAGTACCTGGAGCCTGGGCGTGCTGCTGCTGCATCTGCTGCTGCTCTCAGGATGCCTCCCTTTGCACCCCTTTTGCACCGCCCTGCACCCCTGACTCTCCAGGCACGAGCTGCAGTGAGATCGTGGAAACAGCCTCTTTCCTCTCCCCTGAAATCCTCGCTCAGACCTACTCCTGCCCCACCGATACCTGGAGCCTCGGCGTGCTGCTGCTGCTGCTGCACCTCCTGCTCTCAGCATGCCTCCCTTTGCACCCCTTTGCACCACGTTGCACCACTTCCCACCCCAAATCTACCCAACACAGGAACAACGTGCAGTGAGATAGTGGGAACGGCCTCCTTCCTCTCCCCCGAAATGCTCGCTCAGACCTACTCCTGCCCCACCGACATCTGGAGCCTGGGAGTGCTGCTGCACCTGCTGCTCTCGGGATTCCTCCCCTTCCGCGCGCCCACCAAAGAGGCCGTCTTCGAGGCGATTCTGGACGGCAGAGTGGATTTCCGGGCGGCGCCGTGGCCGATTGTGTCGCTAGCTGCCAAGGACCTAGTGTCTCGGATGCTGATGGTTGATCCGGATGAGCGGATCACAGCAGAGGAGATTCTCAGTGAGTGGGGGGGAGAGATGGGCGGGATGGGCAAGGAGGAAAGTTGGGGGGAATGAAAGCCTGCCTGCCAGGGATTTGGTGTTGATGATGCTGACGGTTGATCCGGATGAGCGGATCACAGCAGAAGAGATTCTCTGTGAGGGGGGGGAAAGGGGGGAAGGGGGGAAGGGGGCAGAGGAGGTGCCGGGCTGGGGGAGGGAGTTACGTAGGTCTTATCATGCATTGGGGGTGAATGGGGAGGTGCTTTTTAACCCCATCTGCCACCCTCTGCCCAGCCCCCTCTATTCCCTCCCTCCCCCCCCTCTCTTCCCTCCCCATTCACCCCCCTCCATGCTGCCCACCCTCCACCCGCCCTCTTGCTGTAGGTCACCCTTGGGTCCTTGACCTGTGAAGACAGGCAATGGTGCAATGGCACTGTATAACTGACTGTTATGTCCCGATTGGCAGAGCTAACACTCTCTGCCGGGCCCCACTCCTCTGCCCCCCCCACCCTCCCTCTTGCTGTAGGTCACCCTTGGGTCCTTGAGCCTTGAAGACTATAGCAATGGTGGAATGGCATAGAAAAGTAGAAACAGAAATCACTTCTGGAAAGGCATATACTGGGATGAACATAGAGCGGAGCTGTCTGATCGGCAAAATCGACATTTTGTTGCTGAACGAACACCGTTCTGTATTATTATGGAAATATTTGTTGTGCCGTGTACATTTAAGAAACTCAACAACTTTATCACTCTGTGCAGGCAATGGTGCACAAGAGCACAGGACTGCCAGCCATGGACCATAGATACATACACTACACTGCCATGCATCAATTAGTCGAGATGCTGTCTGAAAGACACAGTATGTGGACTACCGTATAACTGATTCCTGTACAAGTTCCTACAGCTAAATATAAATGGCGAAGTGCAAATCCAACTGTACAGAAACAGTATGAAAGAATAGACGAACACTACAATATGACGTGGACCTCAGCTACCTTGTTGAACCTGACAAGCCGGCCAAGCGATCTGGTGCGTCCAATCGAACCCTCTTGGCGGACGGTGAGGATCGACTTGGGCATGCGGCAGGGAGAAATGCCCCTTGCAGGTGAAACTTCAGCAGAGGCAGCGCAAGCGGAGGTGGTAGTAGGGGAGGCAGTACCAGGGGAGGTGGTACCTGTGGAGGTGATACCAGGAGGAGCAACACTACAGGAAATAGTACTGGGGAAGGCACTACTAGGGGAGGTGGTACCAGGAGGGGGAAACAGAAGAGGCGGGGAGATAAAAGGCTCCACTGTAGAGGCTGCTGTGCTGATAGCAAGGCTGCTTGTACGGAGGATGGAAGCTGCAGATGCCCGAGTGGCGAAGAGAGGGATTACAGCCAGAGCGGGTAGAGCGCGGCGGGAGCGAATAGTCTCGTGGGGGGGAGAGTGGGGATGAAACTGGTGGGGGGGAGAGTGGGGATGAAACTGGTGGGGGGGAGAGTGGGGATGAGACTGGTATGGGGGAGAGTGGGGATGAGACTGGTATGGGGGAGAGTGGGGATGAGACTGGTGTGGGGGAGAGTGAGATGATGTGGCCTTGGAGTGGGATAGGATAGGAGAGGGATGGATAGACTGCTGGGGAGGGGGGTGGGAGGGAGGGGAGTGGGGTGACGAGGCTGTCGAGTTACTTTCAAGTGAAGCAAACACATGCTTGTTCCGATGCTGCGAATGATGCTGATAGTGCTGATGCTGTGAGTGATGCTGATGCTGATGCTGTTGATGCTGCTGCTGCTTCTGCCGTGATTGGTTTTCCTGCTGTTGACGCTGGGGAGAGTGTTGCTGGTAGCAGTTTTGCTGGGAAGGTTGCCGGTCAGCAGCAGGTGCAGCTGCTACAGCCGCTGGTGCTACAGCCGTCCTTGCTACAGTTGCAGCCTCATAGGGAGAGAGTGGGGAGTAGGCAGATGGCCAAACAGACAAGCTGTTCGGTCTAGTCCTCCTCTGAAATGACTTGTGGGGTAAATTACCCTGCTGATGCTCCTGTTGCACCTCCCCCACATCCACCTCCCCTTGGTGGGACCCGTTGCTATCCCGAGCCTGTTGATTTGTAAGTCCGGTGCGTGCCGAGCCTGCAGCGATGTCGCCCAGGTCTACCGAGGTGGTTCGGAGGCCGAGCCGGGATTTTTGCCTCAGAGCTCCGTGTTGCATGTAACGGTTGTAATGGGCGCTGGTTACCACCGCATCTAGATTGTCTGAGGGCAGCTTGTGAAGAGAGATTCGGCAAGGGCTTGGATGCGAGGGGTGGGAAGGAGGAGGTTTGCTGCTAGGAGATGAGGATGGAGATTGAGATTGAGATAGAGATTTGGAACTTTTATAAGTTTCAGTATGAATTACTGTAGCCGTTACAGAACAGTTACTGTAGAGACGTGCTGGTGTGGATTTCATGCGAGACGAAGCTGCGGTTGGGAGGCTGCCACGTCGCATGTGCCGGTGAGAAGACACAGCAGATTGGTGCGATCCAGGCTGCTGATCTTCAAGCGAATCTGTATTCAACGAGTACAAACCAAAAGAGCTCTGCCGATCGGATTTTGAAATCGAGTCCTCGCTAATCGCCAAATTTCGCCGAACACCACCATCCACGCTCCCACTCCTCGGAAGCCCTAGCGGTCTAGCTTTCCGCGTGGCGTGGAGGCTCCTCGTTGGTTGCGCGTCGGCTCTGCATTTTTCGCTGAAGTCGCTCGCGGTGCGTGCAGGGACCGGACGTAACCAGTCCTCGGAAAATCGCTGCGGTGACGAATTCGCGAACGGTTCGGCGAACGGCTGCGACGAATGACGGTGTAGTGGTGCCTGGAACGGGGACCTTGCGCGATTAGATTGTAACGGGGATGGCGACGGGGACGGAGAGCGGGACCGCGACTGCGAGTTGCGATGGCGGTGCAGGTGCGACTGTAACGGAGGGAGACTATAGCGTGACTGAAGCGAGGGAGCGTGCTGAACCGACGGCGACTGACTCGGAGAGCGGGAGCTGCTCGCTTGGTGTGGCGACTCGAGCGACTCGAGCGACGGACGTCGTCGTGCGACGGGAGGAGGGAACATTGCGGGGGCTCCGCGACAGTTCGATGCGCTGAGCCGGGAATCGCGGCGATTATCGTACTCGCCCATCTCGGGAGGCGCTGACGTGGAATCAAGCCCGAGAATCGCGGCTCGCTCCTCCCGGTTCGTCCGGGAACGGCTTCCCGTGTGGCCCATGCACGTCGTTGTCGCCATCATCGTCGCGGTTCCCCCGACCTCTTCGGCCTCCCCCGGGGCGTCGCCTGCACGCTCTGCTTCCGCGCCACAGTGCGTCCTCCCCCTTTCGTTTGCCGCGATCGCCGCCATTTCCGTCACTTCCGGCGGCGTGGAGTTGCTCCTCGCCGCTTGTAACGGCCGTCGAACGGTGCGCGTCGCGCGCAGCTGCGGCACCTCCTCTGCCGCAGTCCCCACAGTTGCCTCCGCCACCGCCTCCGCCTGCGCCACAGCCACCGCATTTGCTTCCGCCGCTGCCGCCACCTGCGCGTGCGCCGGCGCGTGCGCCTGCGCATCCGCGGACGCCGCCGCTTGATTGGCGGTTCTCTGCTTCGCGGCCTCCAACTCGCGGAGCTTTTTGATGCCGATGGCGGGACGCCGCCGCGCGCCCGCCGCTTGTACGATCATCCCGCGCGCACACGCCGCCGCGGAAACCGCCGGGGTTGGGCTGGGGGCGGCGACGCAACCGTCCCGGCGCCATGCGACAGTGTCGCCGAAGTGTGTCGTTACCGTCGCACAATCGCTGGCGGAGGAGCCGGGAACGACGCAAGAGCCAAAGGGGGAAGCACGGGGAACGACGCAAGAGCCGCGGGGGGATGCGCGGGAGATGCGGGAGACGCAGAAGCCGCGGGAGGCGCGGTGGGCGCGGCGGTTGGCGGAAGGATTCTGCAGAAACGGAGCCGCGTTGAAGTTTCCGCCGCTCCACGACGCCGCGGAGGGATAGCGGTGGCGCGCAGGATCCGCGAACCCGTCAGCGTCGCGCTCGGCGAAGTCGTGGCTGGCGTAACTTGGTAACAACGAGTGCGGAGATGAGCTTTGGAATGCCTCAATGGCTAGATTCTCGGCTTCGAACGAATAATCGTCAAGGGCCGACGGAGATCCGTCAAAAGTTGACAGAGACCAATCGAACGTCGGAGATTGAAAGCAGCTAGCGTCGAGAGGCGGTGCGATAAAACGAGGCTGAGCCGCCGAGCTACAGTGCGCATCTGCGGGATTCGCGGCGGGATGCGCAGCGGGGTGGTAATCGCCGTCAGGAAATTCCGTCGAACGCTGATAGTGAATTGCCGAGGAGGAAGGGACGCTGTACCTTTCCGGAGGCTCGAAAAAACTCTCCGGTGCACGGATAACTCTCGCGGCCATGGCTTTGCGTCAGACGAGTCGCGCTGGTGGTGTTTCAGTCTCGATTTTGTACTCGTAACATCAGCTACGGTAACTGCGTCGGCGGTGCTAGAGTGAAACTAACTGAAGTGTAACCGACTTGAGAGTGTAATGGAGTGAAACGAGTGGTGTGCTGTGTTATGAGTGGAATCGACCGTTGGCGACTGTGTCTGCATCTTCTAAAGCTTATCGTGGTTCCTGTCAGTGGCGTGCTGGTGCTGTTGTGAGCTTAGTGGTGTCGTCCATTGAGCATGATCGTCTCGACTGGTGGAGAGACTAGGAACGGGGGAGGCGAGGAACGGCGTTCGGTGGGATGAGGTATAACGTCGGTGCGCGTACTGTACACGTAGTTTCAATTGGTACAACTTGCTTCACAGTCGGTGCAGTGCTGTAGTACATACAAGTCACCTCAGCGCCAGGATTTCAAGCCACAAGTGCTCCAGAAGGGTGCTTGTACCGTACACACCTCATCGCGTCCTTCCTCCTCTGCCATGACAAGTCGATGTGCAAGAATCTATTGAAGAAGCATCGAGGCACCACACCGCAATAGCGCGAGTCACGTTGGCATGGCATTCGTTCGAGCCACCACAGGCCGCCCGAGGCTTGGTAGCCACGCCGCAGAACATCATCGCGGCAAGGTGTCTGGTTGGGTGACCTCGCTTTCTGACATGCAAGGTGAAGGGGAGGGAATGGTCGGGAGGGGAAGGGCAGGTGGAAAAGGGAGGAGGAGGAGTACTGTACGGGATGCAGCGAAAAGCTTGCGATTCGGTATCCCGTAAGATTTTCTTGGCATGCGGGAGGGAAGGAACTGCGCGCCCTGCTTACCCGTGCCGTGCGGGGAAATGGGGGAAGGAGGGAGGGGGGGGGGGGGGGGTTTGGTTTCTGCTGCCACGCACTCATCCAGCCCAGCGTCACAACCAGGGCTGTCGATTCAAGGGCATATGGCCTTAATGCCCTGAACATTAAGGTCTGACTTTGCCCCAAAGTCCAGATTCTCAGGGTTGATTTTTTGTACAGCCCGGAATGATAACGGGCGTGGGCTGGGCCTTCCCCTGATTCTTACAGGGGCCTCTTGGAGGGTTTCCCTGATCCCCGCGGAAGTTTTCGGCCTTACCCGGAAAATTTCACAGCCCTTCCTATCCCCCCCACCACCCTCTCCCTTCCCGTTTTTCCCTTTCCATCCCATCCCATCCCATCCTATCCCAACCTACCGTGAAAATGCTAGATTACGACGTGGACTGGGCAGGTGTGTACCAGATCTTCGACGGGGAGAAGCGCCGCAAGCCTGCCACTTAGTTATTAGTGTTGAGAAAGTAGATAGGTAGATAGCAGTTCTAAATTAACTCTGCCTTTATTAGTTTTCGTTATATAGAGTTTGCCCTGATTGTTGTAGTGTAGCCCTGAATTTAAGTTTTTGGTTGGGTGCTTTCCCGGACGCTTAAAGGCTCGGAAAAGGACACTTCCCGGAGATTTCAGGGCTGAAATACGGGCACCTCAGACTCTCAAGTGTTGGCCTGGAACCAATCGACAGCCCTGGTCGCAACACGAGGGAGGTGGGGCTGCAAGGGTCAGAGGAATGAGTCGGTTTCACGAACGTCGCCACAGGGAAGTTGCGCTTCGTCGATCTCGGTTACCAACTTGAGTACAGTATGACTCCTGGCCGAAAACTGCATGGAATTTGGGGCTTGGGGGCTGGGGAACCTGGAAGAGAAAGTTCACCCGCCTTTGCTGTGAATTCGGCGCCGTGCCCAAAATTCTCGTGAGCCAATTAGAGGCGGCTATCATTCACTAACGATCTTTCGCGGACGTTGTCGCGTCTTTCGGCAGATTCACTGTTACACAACACCACTGTAGAACAGTGCAAGAAGCTGGCGAAAGAAAGCTGGCACCTAGAGGCACGCAAGCGAAAAGCTGGCATATCCAGGCTGGCGGGACATCGAAGAGTCACGCTGGCGACAGACAGAGCTCGTCGTCCAATAGAAGTTGCCCTAAATCTGAAGACCCATTCGCTCGCTTCCGTCATCCGCAACATGGATCTTTTGTCAAACCAAAGCACGCGGGATGGGGAGGAGGGATGGAGCTATTCTGCACGATGGCGAACACGCAGCCAAATCTTAGTTGGCGACAGGCGGAATCCTTGTAACCTGCATTACATGAGAACAAATCTTCCTCGTAAACGCTGGAAGATACCCCACCAAACGGCGTGAGGTCGCTCCCAATCAGTGTGACCCATGAAACATTTGGATGTCGATGAGTCTCGGTTTTCTGTATACTCGTCTCGGTTATGTGAGTTCATGCTGTTTCGCTTGGTACGTCTCCGTGAAGGTGTTGTAGTTGTAAAATGAGTGTATGCTAGCAGAATGTAAGAAGCTATCTGACAAGACAATGAAGTCGAAGAGACAGCAAGGAGCGCTATACGAGATTTATCTAGGGTCGTCTGGTTCACTCCTCATGCCTCTTTTTGGATGCATGATCATCACTTGAATGGTTAAATACAACTAATATGTCTCTCACGATCTTAGTTTCTTCTTTCTCAACAACGTCGCACAATGCTTAGGAGAAAAAAACGTACACCTCAAATTCGGTTCCACTTCACATCTCTCCGCCTGCAACCCAGCATTACCCGCCCAGCCAATCAGCAGCTTCGCACAGGGCGGTATTCCCAAGGCCTCCGGTTCCCCCTGCGTGCGGCGCCGGAGGCTCTCAGGGGAGCAAGCAGGGGCTCTTAGCAGGAGAAGGCAGAGCGGAGGAAGGGAGAAGGAGGCGAGTGTACTGAGCAGCTCGATGGGCTGTGTTGGCCCGTGCACAGTGACCTGTGGGGGGGAGATGGGGTGGGGTGGGGTGTGAGGGGTGGAGGAGGATATGCCGGTAAGAAGGGAGGAAAGGGGGCTCTTAAGAGGGGAACCCTCTTGGGAGAGGCTGGCTGGTTGGTCCCCCCTGCGTGCGGAGCCAGATGCTCTCAGGGGAGCAAGGAGGGGCGCTTAGGGCGTGTAACCTCGCCAGCGCATAGCGAAATTGGCAAATGACCGATATTTCGTCGACCAAGAGGCTGTTTTTTTCTTTCGCGAAAGGCGACTGAGTGGTCGACACCATGATCGACCACTAAATGGCCAGCATTCTGCAAAATTGCAGATGTGACAAATGTAGTGGCCGATTCGCAGGCCGTTGTATCAAAGGCGTCACATTTGCAGTCGCCCAACCAGACTGAAATGTGCGACGGTGTCGCACATTTGCACCCCACACTCGGTACTCGGTACCCAAATGTCGCTCCGACGTGTCGGATACGTGGCCGTTTTTGAGTCGACTGGGTGTCGGTTTGTAGGTGGCCATGTCAAACGGCCATCAAATTCGAAAAATCCTAGAGAAATTGACGACGCTCGCTGTAATTTTTGCGAACGTCGTTATAGGGTTGCTTTCGCACAAACCAGCCAGACTGTTTCCCCAATAAATTTACGTTTTGCGATGTTATATACCCTTAGAAGGAGAAGGCAGAGCGGAGGGAGGGAGTAGGAGGCAAGTGAACTAAGCAGCTCAATGGGCTGTGTCGGTCCATGCACTGAGACCTGGGGAAAAGGAGGGGGGGTGAAGGGGAGGAGGAGGAGGAATTAGAGGTACACAAGAAGGGAGGAGACAACTGAGCTGGTCAGCTTCTGCGTTGGCCCGTGCACTGTCACGTGGGGAGGGGGAAGGAGAGCGAGTTGACTTTTGAGTCGACTCAAAAGTCAACTGGTCAGCTTCTGCGTTGGCCCGTGCACTGTCACGTGGGGAGGGGGAAGGAGAGCGAGTTGACTTTTGAGTCGACTCAAAAGTCAACTGGTCAGCTTCTGCGTTGGCCCGTGCACTGTCACGTGGGGAGGGGGAAGGAGAGCGAGTTGACTTTTGAGTCGACTCAAAAGTCAACTGGTCAGCTTCTGCATTGGCCCGTGCACTGTCACGTGGGGAGGGGGAAGGAGAGCGGAGGGCACAGGGTAAGGGAGGAGGAATTGAAGAAGCAGAGAGGGAGAAGGGAAGAAGGGAAGGGAGATGGCAGGGGAAGGAGATAAGTAGGTAGGCAGGAGGAAAGAAAGAAGACACTCACCACACTCACCTTCACCACACTCACCTTCAATACAGGAACAATCTTCTGCTGGTCAACAGCCAATTGCAAGTCAGCAAACGATGCTCTGGTCACCCGCACCCCAGGCTGTGCCTTTTCCACAGCTTCTTCCCACGATTGCTCTCCTCCCGCTCCCTCCTCTTCTCCTCCTGCTGCCCCCTCTGCTCCTCCTGCTCCTCCTTTCCCTGCTGCTGCTCCTGCTTGCAACGCTGTGTATTCCAAGTGAAGGATGTGACTGGAGGGAGGAGAGGGGGAGGCGGAAGAAGGGAAAAAGAGTCTCAGTGGAAATCTAACGACTACGGACAGAGCAGACCGTACTTGCGTCCTCATGAGCGATTTTTGAGAATTCTCAGGAATCTAACGGCTATGGACAGAGCAAACCATACTTGCGTCCTCGTGAGCCATTTTTGAGAATTCTCAGGAATCTAACGACTATGGACAGAGCAAACCATACTTGCGTCTGCTGCTCATGAAAAGCCATGTACTTGACACCTAACATCTGCTTGCAGAGCCGGGTTTAGGGTGGATTCTAAGTGAGGGATGTGCCTGATGCAACGGGGAGGGGAGAAGAAAGGAAGAGAGAAAGGAAGAGAGAAGAAGGGAGACGAGAATGAGTGAAATGTTAACATCTAAGGTCAGAGCAGCCCATATTTGCATTGGTGCTAAGAATTAGCTGCTGAGCAGAAAGCTGCTGAGCAAGCACGCAAGTGAAGGGTGCAACTGATGCGACGGCGGGGGCAGGAAGATGGGGGTAAGAGAGAGAGAAGGCGAAAAGGAGTCTTGTGGGGTGACACATCTTTTGGTGGAGAGCAGAGGGGAGAGAAGTGGGAAGGAGTCGTGTCGTGTGGGGCGCCGAGCACTTTTGAGACGTCTCAAAAGTCGCCGAGCGCTGAGTTGATTTACTCAACTCAGCCTCAATGATTTACTCAACCTTTGAGGTGCCTCAAAAATAAAGTCCATGGGTTGTGTGGGCCGCCGAGCACTGAGTTGATTTACTCAACTTAGCCTCGATGATTTACTCATCTTTTGAGGCGCCTCAACAATCAACTCAAAGAGTCGTGTGGGGCGCCGAGCACGCTGGGAGCACGCTGAGAGCAGAGCGAACGCAGAGGGCGAGAGGGGAGCTTACCTACCTAGAAGGAGGGAAGGAGATCAGACCTTGTGGGGGAGAGCAGACCTTGTGGGGGAGATCAGACCTTGTGGGGGAGAGCAGACGGGAGAAGATGGGGAAGGAGTCGTGTGGGGCGCCGAGCAGGCTGGGAACACCAAGAGCAGAGCGAACGCAGAGGGCGAGAGGGGAGGGGGCGTCCCAGTTGGACACCGTCGCTCTCATCTGCGGTGCAGAGGGGTGATGGGAGGTGGGGAGGGGTGATGAGGGGTGGAGAGGGGTGACAGAGTGGGGTGAAGGGCAGAGCAGCAAGCAAGCAGGATGGGAGCACAGAGAGGGAAATACAGCCACCTTCTATAACAATAGCGTTACACATCTATATAAAAAATTCTAGAATCACTGCTATTCTAAGAAAAAGACCTCTGACAAAATGTCTTTACTCACAAACATCACAATTGCTACAATCACATTCGCTATAATCACCTTCTCTAGAAACCGCGTGCATGTGTCGATTTCCCCCACTCTCCTTCTGATCAGCCTCTGCCTCGCCCCCAGCTCATCTCCCACCGTTCGTCGGTAGATCTCCTCCCAATCCGACGGCCACGATCCCTCCATGCTAGACCGGCCCTTGCCTCTCCCCTTCCCACCCGGACAGAAGGCGACGCCTGATTGGACGGGACCCAGCCACTTGTCAGATGATGGTGACGTGGCATTCAGAATGGCTTCGACCTGATTGGGGGAGGATGGGGAGAATGGGGAGGATGGGGAGAATGGGGAGAATGGGGAGGATGGGGAGAATGGGGAGAATGGGGAGGATGGGGAGAAAGGAAGAGTGGAATGTTCAGCTGGAAAAGTGAGGACTTGGGAAGTAGATCTAGGCCACTTGTCAGATGATGGTGACGTGGAATTCAGAATGGCTTCGACCTGATTTGAGATAGATGGGGAAACACGAAGGTTGATTAAAGAGTTGAGAGGCCTCTGAGGCGCCTCTGAAGTGAGGTGAGCTGAGAGGCCTCTGAGGCGCCTCTGAAGTGAGGTGAGCTGAGAGGCCTCTGAGGCGCCTCTGAAGTTGCCTTAGGGCGCGTGTCTTTTGCAAATTAGGTAGAAGTTCATGTTTTTTTCTCGAATTTTCACATTCGAACTTTGGTCGACCATCTCGACTTCTGATGGTCGAGGAGCAGCGTCAACAAGTCCAAGTCGCACATGGAACAACAAAGTTCGACTATCAAAGCTCAACTTTGAACAGTAAATCACGAGTCGCGCTAAACCTTCGTAAGTTACCAGGTTGGGCGGTAAAATTCGTTACTGTATCAAGCTTCGGTAACATGGTAAAATGCACCTCGTTTTTGTCGTGAACCTCGTGAATTTTCGTGCGTGCACACAAGAGCACACGATTAGAATAATGTAAACATAAAAATGCGAACGCAGGTCGACTTTAGTTCAGTGTCCAACTTCTTTCGCACAGCTTAAACTAGGACACACGATCCCTTCGCGAAAAAATTCGCGAGATTCGCGAAACGGGTTACCAGCAAAAGCTCGACCTTTTTTTTGAACGTCTACACCAAAAGACACGCGCCCTTATCTGGACTGCAATGAGAAGTCAGTGAGGTGGAGTGACGTTTTGAGGCGCCTCAAAACTAGATGCCTCTGCAGTTGCCTAATTTGGAGTGCGATGACAAGTGAGTGAGGTGGAGTGACCGTGTGGAAAGGAGAGGTGCAGAAATACCATCCCATCCCATCCCATCCCATCTCATGAAAGGAGAGGTGCGGACAAGACCTGATCACCCCTTTCCTCATCCCATCCCATCTCAACTCGATTTTTGAGTGGACTCAAAAAGTGACCGTGAGGAAAGGAGAGGTGCGGACAAGACCTAATCACCCCTTTTCTCATCCCATCCCATCTCAACCCCACGCCCTGCGCACACGGGTGGCAGGATTGGCGCTTGGCGCCGTTGAGAGGCACAGACGCGCTGATTGAGACGGTGATGCTGCTGCAGGCGCCTGTGTGGTTACCACCCCCTTCCTTCCCCTCCCTCTGTCTCTCACCTCCTTGCCCTGAGCGCAGGGGTGGCAGGATTGGCGCTTGGCGCCGTTGAGAGGCACAGACGCGCTGATTGAGACGGTGATGCTGCTGCAGGCGCCTGTCTGATTGCACTCCTAACCCCCCTTCCCCTCCCTCTGTCTCTCACCTCCTTCCCCTCGGCGCAGGTGATGCTGCAGGCGCCTGTCTGATTGCACTCCTAACCCCCTCTCCCGTCTCACCTCTTTCCCCTCAGCACATGGGTGGCACGGTTGGCAATTGGCGCCGTTGAGAGGCACAGACGCGTTGATGATAGACACGGTGATGCTGCTGCAGGCAAATGTCTGTCTGTCCTTCTGGTCCTTCCCTCCATCTCACCTCTTTCCCCTGCGCACACGGGTGGCACGGTTGGCACTTGGCCCCGTTAAGAGGCACAGACGCGTTGATAGACACGGTGATGCTGCTGCAGGCGTCAGGGAAGGCCCTCCGGGAGAGCACACAGAAGGGCAGGCTGGCCGGCTGCACTGCTATGTCCCGCGAATTGAGCTGCAGCTTGAATGTTATTTCGCTGTTCATCTGCCTGGAAAAGCAGGGATGGGGGAGGGAGGGAGGAGAGGGAAGCGGGGAGTGATTCGGCTGTGATGCTGCTGCAGGCGTCAGGGAAGGCCCGGAGGAGAGCACACAGAAGGGCAGGCTGGCTGGCTGCACTGCTATGTCCCAGCTTGAAGATTAGGTTGCTGTTCATCTGCCTGGAAAAGCAGGGATGGGTGAGGATGGGAGCAGGAAAGCAGGGATGGGCGAGGATGGGAGCAGGAAAGCAGGGATGGGCGAGGATGGGAGCAGGAAAGGGGCGGAGCGAGGCACGGAAGGAGGGAGTGGTTCGGCTCTGATGCTGCTGCTGCAGGCGTCCGTCTGGGAACGCTTGGCTTTTTGAGAATTCTCAAAAGCGTCTGTCTGGGAACGCTTGGCAGGAGAGCACACAGAAGGGCAGGGAGGGAGGGATGGGAATGGAGATGGGGAGGAGGGTGGCTGCAGAAAAGGGACTAAACAGGTGGTCGGCTTTCTTGGCCGTGTATGAGAACTTTTGAGACGTCTCAAAAGGCAGGGAGGGAGGAATGGAAATCGAGATGGGGAGGAGGGTGGTTGCAGAAAAGGGACTAAACAGGTCAGAACTTCACCCAGTGGTGATTCTATTCCACCTGCCTGTATCCGTTGGCTTCACATTGTGGTGTTACATGGTTGCCTTGTGACACACCCTACTTCAGCCATTCCAGAACGCCAGCACCTGAACACCCTAAGCTTCGACGCCAATCTTCTGTCTGTATCTGTTGACTTCATCCAGCATTGCCAGCCGTGACAGTGCCATGCCACCCCACTCGCCCCCCATTCCCACCCACTGCCCCCTTACAGTCACATCACCTAGAATAGAACCACATCAGCACACACCCAACCGCACAGCTGAAGTCTCAGTTTGCTCTATTACCGTTTGACGCCAATCCTCTGTCTGTATCTGTTGACTTCATCCAGCATCGCCAGTCGAGACAGCGCCACCACACTATCCTCCCTCCTCCCAAACCCAAACCGGTCATTCACGCCGCCCCAGTTCGACCCATATGGGACAACGTATGCCGCCCTCTCCCCCATGCTTTCGCCCTCTTTCCCCTCTGCCCCTCCTCCTCCTCCTTCTTCTCCCCCTTCCCTCCTCTCCGCCCCCTTCCACGCCCAGCCAATAAAAGACGAAAGCGGGGGTGCCGGCGCCGACCAATAACCATCCAGCCGCGTGCGCAGCACCCACCGGTACTGCTGGCCGGCACGGTTTGTCTTTTCCTCACGTTCTATGAGCGGCAAACAGCCCTCAATCAACCTGAAATACTGCAGAATCCCCTGAACCCCGTTAGGAGAACCCCAGGGAAGGATGATGATAGACCCGGGATAGAGTGATGCGTCTACAGGCACGACAGGGAACACCCTCACTCCCTTTATAGAACCAGCCATTTTGTCAGATGCTCCCTGCTGCCGCTCGTTATAGTCACTTCTGCTACTGTTATCCTGGCTGCCCGCGCTTCTGCTGCTGCTGCTGCTGGTTCTGCTGGCTGTAGCACGATTTCCTTGCATGGCATGTGCGCGAGCAAGGGCTGAGATCTTCGCAGCGTTTTCATCCAACGGTGCGTGAATGAAGAGGTCGAAGGGCAGCAGGGAGGGCAGCAGGTGGTGTGTGATGGTGGGCCCTGTGGCGTCTAAGTCCCGCGCGCCCCCCACCAGACACACTGCCAGGGCGGGGAGGGAGGGCTGGGGAAGGGGAGATGGGGCAGGGGAGAGAGATGGAAGGGGAGATGTATTGAAGGCAGCAGGGAGGGCAGCTGGTGGTGTGTGATGGCCTGTTGCGTCTAAGTCCCGCGCACCCCCCACCAGACACACTGCTAAGGAGAGCAGGGAGGGCTGGGGAAGGTGAGAAGCGAGGAAGCAAGCGGAGAGGTAGAGATGCGGGCTGGAGGGGCAACAGCAAGGGCAGCAGGGAGAGACAAGGAGGGCAACAGGTGGTTTAATGAGGGGAGCGTACTAGGAGCGGGTAGCGAAGAAGCGCGACTACGTACGTCATCATTGGATGTTGCTTCTGAACCTTCGGATTGTGACCGCGTCCCTTCCTCTCCGCCTTTGCCGCCGTCATCCGCGCTATCCCTGTTGCTGCTCGAATCTTCGGAACCAACAAGGCCCGCGCTGTCCCCGATGAAGGCCGCTTTGCTTTCGCTCTTCGCGACTACAGTGCCAGCTTGTTTCGAGCTACAGAATATACAGATCTGATCAGAGAAACGCCATGCGGACGTGCAGGCGGCAAGAACGAGCAAAACTACAAGAAGTGCCACCCGCCTCCGTTCCGTGCGAGTGAACCTCGGGTAGGCCATCGGTCCTGGCGTTTGCTACATCCAAGAATTCGGAAATTGCCTCATACGAGATAGCTACGTGAGAGCATTGATGCATCCGCGAATCCAAGAAATTGCTATATACGAGATAGCTACGTCAGAGATTTGCTGCATCCGACTGATAGCTAAAGCATCGGGCTCCCATTCTAGTAATTTTTCCTCATAACCAATCGTTGGAGTCGCATAAAACTGCTGGAAGCGCCGCTGCTAACAAGGAAGAAACTGAACAAAGCCTCACCAACACATCCACGCAACAGGTCTGATTCTGTTGGAACGATTGATCAATTGAAGTAAACAGAAAACTGGATAGGTTGTTGGCTGGAGGCGAGAATTTCAACAGCAGAGAGAAGTGGATAAAGCCTGAAAGGTCAAAATCCTCGATGTGGGCAGACTCGTCACGGATAGAACCCGCCGACACGATTGGCGAATAGGGAACGCGTGGTGAGCCAGATTTTCGCTGGACATGCGATGTTGGCCTGGAACGTGGTGATTGGCCACACACACCGCGGGCAAATGATAATCAGATGGACACAAATCAGCTGCTGTGCTGGTTCTAGCAATGTTCCCGACAGCACTCAATTTTGAAAGGCTCGCGAACATCCTGTCTGTGGTAACATTGCGCTGAGTATTGGACGCACTCCCCCCCCACACCTCTACCCACCCTGCCCCAAATACGCCTACCCACTTCGCATCAGGGAGAACACAAACGTGAATCAAAATACCCACATTCAAATGCAGCACTGCTAACTTTGCTTTAGGTCTCAGACAAGTGATAAGTAACTGTTGCTAGGTCTGTCCAAAATATGTAAAAAAATGCAGTAATTAAAAAATTGAAAAATCTCATAAATTAAATATATAATTTTGGCACATAATTCAAATCGCGAAGGTTTTAAGTCAGTTTGTTTATCATCTATATCATTCTTGTATACAAAACTAGGTTTGTTAACCTAGTTATCTTGACATGGAGCTCTCGATATTATCAACTCAACGGTGGGATCTCGGTGACTCCACCGTGCCCTGCGCGCCCACAACGAAGGAGCCCTGTCAGCGTCCCGAACGGTGCAGTAGATTCGCGCGGGGGAATTCCAGTCGTTGCGCGTCAGACGGCCTCCACCGTGCGAGGAAAGTTGGGTTTGGTCAGCCCGATGCGACGAATAGCGAAGTCTTGCGGGAGGCATGCGACGTGCCTTTGCGAGGGAAAGTCTGGCCTTGAGAACACCGTGCGAGAGCTGGTTGGTGGAGAAAAGGGATTCATTTTGCTACCCACCCAACCATTCAGTTTCCAGAACCAAAAAGGCCACTGATATAGCTCATTCTCTCTCCAGCAGACCTCTCGTTAGGAATCTCAGATTACTCCCATCTAATTGATTTCCATACCACTCTAGCTCTCGTTTCCCAAAAGCAGTCACCATGGGTTTGTCCTTTGGGAAGCTCTTCCAGAGATTTTTTGGGAAACGGGACATGCGTATTCTAATGGTTGGTCTAGATGCCGCTGGTAAAACGACCATTCTGTACAAGCTGAAGCTGGGAGAGATCGTGACCACCATTCCGACCATTGGTATGATTGCAGTCCTTCGTCGATCTGCTGTCAGACTCGCTTAAGGCTCCTATAATTTTGCTAAGCGACCTTATCTTCATTCCAATCCAGGTTTCAATGTCGAAACTGTGGAATACAAGAACATCAGCTTCACTGTGTGGGATGTGGGAGGTCAGGACAAGGTAAGATAAACTAATTGCAACTAGGTTTTTATTCGCTAGGCCGTTTCGTGATTGGACTGATTTTGTCTTTTATCTCGTTGTACAGATCCGTCCCCTTTGGAGGCATTACTTCCAGAACACCCAAGGTCTGATTTTCGTTGTCGACAGCAACGATAGGGATCGTGTGATGGAAGCCAGGGATGAGTTGCACAGAATGCTCAACGAGGTCAGCATCATCTTTTGTCGCTTATTGTAATTCTTGATAGTGCTGTTGACCTGGTTTTGTGTACTAACTCTTTCTTCGTCTCTTTTTTACAGGACGAATTGCGAGACGCGGTGCTGCTTGTGTTCGCTAACAAGCAGGATCTTCCGAATGCCATGAACGCTGCAGAGATTACCGATAAGCTTGGTCTTCATTCATTGCGCCAGCGTCAATGGTAAGTGGCCGATTTCGATTTGGTTCTAAAACTATCATACGCGTGAAAGTGCTTTCGACGTTTTGTTTGATCCACGGAGAAAGGTCATCGAGTTCTTCCCATGACTTCCATACCACCTTCGTTCATTTCAGGTACATCCAGAGTACTTGCGCTACCTCAGGAGAAGGTCTCTATGAGGGTCTCGACTGGCTGTCGAACAACATCCAGTCAAAGGTGAGTTAGCTCAGTTTTGGGATAGTTATTTCAGTCTTGGACTAGTTACCTCCAAACTGGCGACATGTCATAATAATAACTAACGGCCTTCAATTTTGGCAGGACTAAGCTGGGCATCCAGCAGTGCAGCATTCGCAGGAGGATCGTACTACCACATGAGCACCTTACACGCTTCACTTGACAAGCTTCTAGCGCTAAATCACCACATCCCCAAACATCTTTACTTGGTGCTAAACACCATTTCTTGTATGCCTTCCTTGTAGCAACAGTGAATTCATTATGTGCTTGATTGTACACATGCATCCTTGTGTCTTCCAAACCGAAATTTATGCAGACAATTCAGTAGTGATGATGCAGCAAGACAGAACACATTGAAAAATGAAGATATCCATAGGTTGTGGCAATGAAGTGACAGGCATAAGTCATTCTGGTATGATGCACGTGAGCCCCGTGTCGTAGCTTCCCATAATGTAGATTTCGACACACCAGAGAATTTCATTATGCATGAACAAAAGCATGCCATGAATCCTTCCGGTTCGGTGTCCGTACACAAACCAAAGAACCGTCTTCTTGAAAGTACTGTAACGTGCTGTTCTTTGCAATGTTGACTGCACTCTACCAGATTTGGTTGTCCATACTACGTGAGATTGAACTGTGACGAGCCGCTCACGGTCGTCTGAAGCATCTAACAGCGTCAGTTGCGGCATTCGTTGGCGTATTGTTTTGAGGAAGTAGCTCAGATATCGACAAGGTTGCCTCATCAGAGCAACTCTTCCGCGTGCTATATTGAGTCGACATTAAAGGGATCGCGAAAGCCACGTCAACCACCATTGACTGGCTTGACTATCTCGGATCTTGGCGGTCGAACCTCCCCACCAGTCATGTTTCGCCTTGAGCTGACGGGGTGTTGTCACCAGCGCCGTGCTCTGTGGTCGCTATGCGTAGCTGTGCTTCTAACGGGGGCTGCAATGAGAGTGGATGCGAGGGATGAGGTTGTGCTTGTGGGCTGCAGCGGGTTTGTCAAGGTGAGGCGCGTGCTGTCATGTGGTGAGGCGCGTGCTGTCGTGTGGTGCGACGCGTGCTGTCATATAGTGAGGCGCGTGCTGTCATATAGTAAGGCGCGTGCTGTCATATAGTGAGGCGCGTGCTGTCATATTGTGAGGCGCATGCTGTCATATAGTGAGGCGCATGCTGTCATATAGTGAGGCGCGTGCTGTCATGTGGTGAGGCGCGTGCTATAATACTGTGAGGCGCATGCAGTCGAATCAAACATGACATCTCATCTCACACATGCCATGGTACCTGACACAGGTCAGGATGCGACAGCATGCATGCCATTGTGTGTGATCCATGACAATGAGTGATGACACAGCCA